CGCGAAAACACATGTGCACAAAGTTCACATTTCGCAAGCACAGCCGACCACACAACCATCCTAAATCTAGAGGCAGCCGTCGACATCGCCTAGAACCGAAAAAACAGCTCCAAAGCCTCTGAGCCCAACTTTCGTGTCCAAGTGGCTGAGATCAGTCGAGCGCCTTTTTCAAACAGGGATGGCGCTGTAGGGGCTTCTGTTGTGGGAGGTTATGCTCCGCGTGGTGGGGGCGCCTAATGTCTTCCAACTTCTTCCATGGCATCTTTGACGGTGGCCTAAAGAAGATAACATTACATCCGAAAGTATCCTCGTGTATTCAATGTGGTGCAAAGCGGTTCTTGGAGAAGGCGACCTGAAACTCAAGCTCCCAAAGAAGAAGGCCCGAAGTGAGCTCGTGATTCCAGCTCGCACCAGCATCCAGTCTAAACCAAAGCTAATGCAAAACTCAGCGGGTCAATTTCGATGAAGCGATCTTTTCCAACACCAAATTTAACCCTAGATGTCTGGAACGAGCCCCGACAGAACACTCAAGAAACCCATGTGCTGACTGGAAAGATTCTTCTCATGCCCACGAGCTTGCCCTAGAAACCTGCATCTTCATGCTGTACCACACATCCACAAATCAGGAGAAGACCGAAAGCAACTTTGCCAAGATGCACACAATGCACACCTAGGCTCAAGCAGCGGTTGGCGCCCTACTGAGGGGAGGAAAATGGCTCACGAGCATCTGTCTCACCTTCCCATACCCGCAAACTTGACTTTCACAAGCAGCCAACCTCTCAATTATGCCTTGAGCACCCCAAGTTTGACCAGAAAACGTCTCTCCAGACCTCAAAAGTGCGTCGTGAGACCATCATGCGTGAAGCCTCATAGCACAAGGGTGGTAGCAAGGCTCGTAGTTGTAGTATGGTGTAGCTTTCCAACCATCAGCCGTTGCCTAAGCCTCATACAGTATGAAGACTCAGCATGAGAAATTGATCCGAACAAAACATGATGACAAGAGTCATCATACCAATGCTGCTGTTGATGGTCAAGGAAATCGTGCAAGTGCTGGTCACGATGCTGTGACCGTCTGCGAATGCAGCTGGTGCTTGCGCAGGTATTTTTGGATAAGCGGCGGTTGAGAAATAGCGCTGGTTGTAGGCTCCGGTCGCAGTGGTGGTGCAGATCATGAGTAGCCGGGATAATGATAAACAGCACCACATACGAAGAATGACATCCTGCTATCTTTTTATGCTATGGCCGGGCTGCGATGTAGTACACGATGAGACGGAACTGGAAGCCCATGTCGGGGCCCTGCAACAGGTGCGCGGTAGGGGCGTACGGCCCCAGTTGCGCTGGCCGCTTCTTGATTATGATCTGCCTACTACGTAATCCTGTTCATGGGGAGTCTTGACAGCCTACTCCGTGACACCGGCGCTAGAGCATCCTCCTTTGATGCTACTTATGCCTCATGTGCTGCTAGCGTGCCGAATACCTCCCGCGCCACCTGGACAAATTCTCATAGCACTCATCACCCAAAATCGTGTTCGAACATGTAGTCCCAGCAACTGTGACAAATAGCTTGCCGGAGCAGCCGCATGCGGCATCGGCCCCAGAACCCCAATTGGATATCATGGGTCGCATGTGCCATCCTTTAGACCCCAGCTTAAATGCATAACCTCTCACGTGCTCTGGTACTAAATCTTACCCCCACAAAGGATTACATGCTTGGGGAAGATTGATCATTAACCAGTTGGCTTGTTTCAAACTTCAGGGGGGAACCCTAAACTCTAAACAATACATACCCTAAACCCCATAATTACTGTAAACCCTCAACCCCATATACTACTACCCTAGACCCCATACACGCTGAACCCTACACACCCTAAACTCCATACACCCTCTTCCCCATATACCCTCAACCCCACTGGTGAGGGAGGCCAGCGCCTCCGAGGTGTAGGCCACTGCTGTGAGTCCGAAATAGCCGAAGACGACACCTTAGCTTTCCCGCGGTTTAGTGTTTAGAGCTCCCAAGACAGACATGTAATGTAGAGAGGGAGAGAGAGAGAGATCTATATACATATATACATATATATGCACTCATGGATCTACAATTTTCGCGCAGTCTAGACATGAAATCCTAACACCTTGCGTCAACACAACAAGGCTGGCCCTTTAATTATCATGAAGCTGTTTGAACTAAGCCATGGGACCAGTGTAGTACAAATCATGGAAGTCAAGAGCCAACTCTTTGATTTAGACCATTTTTCATCACTGGTCAAATCAAATTCGTCAATCAGGGTCAAAAGCCTACAGCCATTATGACGACTCTCTGGGCATAGTCCGTGTCCCTTCCCCCTATGAATATTGTCAGTTCTACTAAGCAATAACAAGTGTATAGAATCACGATAGCAGCCTCAGAGCAAGCAACAGATCGCTACTTATTCTCCTCCAATGCAAAGACAACAGAGAGGGTTGGCTGATTTGAGGGAAACGGAATCTACTTCAAGGCAAGCAGCTAAAAACATGGCACCGGGTGTGTCAGCAGTCGGCCATTTAAAGAAAGTCAGGAAGAAGCCGTTGAGGCGCGGCATGCAAAGTGATTGTTGAGCGTGACAATCTGCGAAAAGTAGGCTAGAACAATTAACGCACTGTGAGCTTGTGTTTGACTTCGAGCATGGATCCTCACGTGATAGGCGTCTCATCCCGTCCTGAAAGCTTTTGCGCTCCTAAACCTCGTTGCTATGCCCAGAAAGGCTCTATCTGTGTGTGTGGGAGGAGGATCCTGTCCTGGTATTGATGCTGGAGGGAGGAGGGACCTTAAAGCGGAGCTTCAATCTTAGCCTGGCTGAGTGTTTGAAACGTCTCAGTTTTGAGATGCCCTTTTTGTAGTCCTGATCCATATAATATAACTCCCCAAGAAGTGTGGCCGAGTTGCTCTCTGCCAGGTAAGCCATGAGTTCTGCCAGTTCACCTGCGTGTCAATCAACGTTCCCACTTCAGCGCCGCAGCATCTGCTACGCGGGGAGTAGGACTATCTGGAGTTGCTAAGAGCAGGGCAGAATTTTCAAATGTTAACGGCCTACCTGCTAAGGCCCTGGCTCATGGGAAGCCTTGCAGGAGAGGGCAGCTCAAGGCAGTAATGCCTGTGTTCCTGTGTTTGTTAAATTAGCTTCATGGCGCGTAACTGCCAGAATCTAAGGAAGCTAGAGTACCATGGTAGGGACTGCCGGGGACATGCTGTAGAAAGCCAGCTACATGTGCAGGATTGCCCTAGCATCAATTTAGAACATGTAACGCTTCAGATACAGCGTAACGTGCAGTCAAGCTGCTTGTGAACTCCTGCGCCTCTTTTGACAGCCTGAGCCCCGCTGCACATGGAGTCTAGTGATATCGGTAATTATGTCTCGCAAAAAGGGATCCCCTCATGAAAGCAATAAGCAAACCAATAAAATACAACCATAAGCACTAAAAAATCCCAAAAAAACACGTCCCTTCTGGTCCTGGATTTCAGTCAGCACGACTTACTCTCTGTAAAGTGTCAAACTTCGAGAAAAAGCAGAACATGCAGCAAGCCACTATGAGCTGCGCACACAGGACAAAACTTTGACAGCTGCGCAGATGAAGCCGTGGGTTGTGAAGCGCCAGGCAGCCCATGCTGCGCGTAGTGACCACTGAGCACGGAGCACACAAAGAGGGCAAATATGGAGGAGAAGCCACACAGCTCTGTCCTTGGCTGAAGTCGTACTTCACATTTTGCGCTAGCGGAAGGTGTCCAGATGACCTGGCGCCTGCATCATCCACACCTTCCGCAATGTATGGCCCCGTCACCCTATGTATCTTATATACAAATATATGTACATGAACAGCTGCTGTGATTTCCCATCTTCTCCAGCGATGCCCCCGACACATGCATGTATTTGGCAACACAAGTACTTGCAAAAAATGGGGGCCCCTTCCCGATCCACACACCACAATCTTTCATCTACTCAGTTAGGGAGCTCCCAACAGCATCATCAATTTTGAGAGCCCAATGTATTCCCAATGTATTCAGTACTGTGTCACGTAAAGACACCCCGTTTGATCAGGCCCAGCTTCAAGATGTAGCCTTGGCTTCTTGTGGGCAGAAACTAGCGGATTAAAGTTTACAGTCTACTGCAGGAGACCGGGATTCAAGCGATTGGGATTTAAGTTAAAGGCTTGGCTTGAAAACTCCAGAGATTGTTGACTTTCAAACTGCACGCCTCCAACGAAAGTCCCACGGATCGCGCTTGTGAACATTCTGTTTTAGCCAACAACAAGCATTGAGCGAACAGAACCTGGGCATCACAACAAAATCAACCCTGGCCCATGCTGTCGCTGAACGCGGATAGACGTAGAGGCAACAACTGGTGCAAATGGTGCACAAGTCGGACCCATTTTCCTGCGAAATTTGGGCAGTGATGGGCTGTCCAAGTTCTGCCGATTCCGGCCAGGCCCGCAGGTCTTGGAGAGTTCTTTGCCTCCGGGCCGGCAGCCGTTTTGGATGCTTATTGGGTTCACCGTTAGCAAGGATTGAACCTGAGTATGCTTTCACAACACTTCATATATAGAATCCCACCATTAAGAATGCCACGTCGTGCAAAAACAAAATTGGATAAGGATCCAGTGCAACTCATGCGCCCCTGCGTGAACCCCAAGTGGCAGCAACAAAATAGCATGACAGCATGGGAGAATACTTGGAAGACTAAGATCGTGTTCAGGCTCAGGGGTGGGATCTGGGTAGTCTTCGGTAAGAATATGTTTTTCACTCAGAACTCAGAACAGGGTGGACACGACCGCATGGTTCGGCCTGAAACCCTTTTGAACTCATGACGGAGTTTCCTTGGTTCTAAGACTGCCCACGCAATCATATACTGCTCATGTCCCATACAAGCCAGGTAAACCTTAGGCAAGGGTACCCACCTGGCAACTCCCCACCTGAAATTCCCTCAAACATGATACTCGGAGAACGCCTCTCCGACATGGCAGCATGAAGATCACAAAGTACGGCTCTTCATGGCTAATGCGTACAAGTTCCTCAGCTCCGGGGCATTTTCTAATGGGTTCTAATAATATCTAACCTGCTGTCGGATTTGGATCCTAGCAAAATCCCATCCCTTCCTGCAGGCGCTTCTTGTGTCGTCAAATGTTGCGGTGAAGCACGCGCTTGTAAACAGCTTTAGGGTAGGCTTCATCTCTGCTGAGGCGCTTTCACGTCACAAGACCAAATCCCAGACATCTTTCCAAGGAAAAAGAATGGACTCGATTTTTGCACATGTGGAGAGGGCATGGAAATCCTGGCAGAGCTGCTTCATCCGTGTGCACCCAAGCGCATGCCATGCCTGTTAGTGTGATCGCGATCCTGCTCAAGAAGAACAACTCTGAAGCCTACATTCCGCATTAACCTGTACCAGGTTACGTAGTTGCCAAACACACTGCCGAGCTGAGCACTGAAATTCCGTCACGTCCCCAACTTCCTGTATTGGCAAGAGGCAGCGTCTCTTCGATAAAATCCCTCAGCGGATTCGCACTGGTTAGTCAATCTCTCAGGTTTTTTGAGTCCTCCTTCAGCAGTAGATAGAATACAAAGGAAAAATCTACTGGCAGTCTACTGGCTTCCCGCCATTTTGCATAAGATCCTCTTCAGACATCCTGACTGTGAAAGTGTGCACCGCTAACAGGCCACCGTCACCGATATACCTCGTGTATTTTCTCCCTGGAGATCCACGATGCTTCGCGGAAAGGGCTTAATTTTGACGTGCGGCACTCTTGCACAGAGGATGGTAGGATGCGTTTAAGCTGTGGACTCTAGAACTTCAGGTTTGGAATGGCTTGGATGCCTCCAGTTTAGGCATCATGGGCTTCAGGCTTTTGGTTAGCCTCTAAGAAGTTTAGAGAATAGCTCATAAGCAAAGGAAGATGATGCAGAATGTCTGAGCATGTCTGTCCCTGCGCTTGCTGCGTTTTCGGAGGGGCATTCTGACTGTCAGGAGACATGCCGAATGTTTTAACCTCAATGTGGTCACTTACAGTATTCTGTTTCCTAGACGTTTCGCTAACCTGGTCCCCAGCAGTTCCTTACATTCATGCCTCCATGGAACCCTCAACAGACAATCCGCGAAGTACATCCGAGGTCTTGAAGCCATGAACCTAACGCCATGAGCAAGGGCAGCATTTTAGTGGGCGGTGCCTAGACCACCGTGTCGCAAACCCTTTGCAAAGCCCGTATGCCGCCAATGTGAAACCGAGCTACATGGCACCATCTTTCCCTTTATTTATTGACTTCCAAAATCTCTTTACACGACCCAGTTGATGTGAAGGCCAGCTTCATGGTTTGATTCGTGGCGTTGGGCCACCGGATGTCTGGTCGTATCTCACCCAGCCGGGCCTCTCAGGCTTCTAGGCTTCTAAGGCGTGGAAGCTTACTTTTTTAGCCTATAGGGTTCAATGTTGAAGAGCGAAAGCTTGACTTGTGAAGGGCGTCAGTTTGTGGTCTTCGCGCTCAGGGGTTGGGGTTCAAGCTTGCGGTTTACAATTTCAGAGTTACGCTTCCGGATACATGATGGAAGATGTCATGCGCAGACTCCTTCGCTTGCAAAATCATGAACGAATGGCAATTCTACATGGTAATCTTTCTACCTTTAGGATCTTGAGTACCCCGGGTGGAAGAGGGGCTTAGATGTCAAAATCCACGTGTCTGCATTTCCTAGCCTCTGAGTGATCACATTCCATGGCTGAGGAGTCGAGTTTCGATGACCCTGAACGCAGAAGCCCCCACAGCAGTTCAGTCTTGCAGAACCGTCTTCACCTAGCACGATCAGAAAAGCTGGCATGGAATTGAGAGCGCTCAATCTCTTAGACTGAGCGAATTGGTGCATCAGCGTCCCCGGTCAGATTCTGTTTGCGCTACGAGCTATGTAGATCATTACCACCGTTAGCACCACCAGTATGGCATAATGCGCACAATGAGGGAAGTATCCGAGCAGCCTGTTCTATTAGAAAAATAAAAACCAACCCCGGAAGCCTCGCGTGACCTTCCCAGATGCGCCTTCTCACGCACAAACGACTCGCAGTCACTCAGGAGCGTGAGACAGCTGTACTTCTGTGCATACGCACCTGATCTACACTGACGGGCATTCGATGCAGGAGTACCTAAACCCTAAGTAGTACTTTCCATTCTCTTTTCCATGATCCCAATATCACCCCAATGCCCCTATATAATCCCTGTGTTACTTAGGGGTTTGAGCAAGGTCTTACGGCTGCTACAAGATCTTCGGAGGGGTTTGTAGGGGCTCACTTTTCTAAGTGTCCACTGCTTCCCATACGCTCTTGTAGAGGGTTTCCGTGAAACTGTTTCCATGGTGGTTCCAGTCTACTGCTCACCTGAAGTTAGTGCTGGATCAGTCTCAATGCCTGCAGCAGACACGGTAATCCCGGGAAAGCCTCTTGGAGGCCTGCACGGAGTTAGAAACGAGTGCTAGGATCGAAGCAAATCATGATTCTGATGTTTCCGAGAGCACAGTAACCTTGTCAAGGACATGTTACCTCTACAAGATTGATTCTCAGGTGCCTGTTTTATCAGCCGTCTGAATTTGTGGCACCCGCCCCCGTGCGCCCACCTCTCCCACACCCAAGAGAATTCTTAAAACATCCGATCTCAGCCTTTTGGGCAAATTTGGCTTGTACAAACTGATCAATTCACGAAGTAGCGTTGTGACTGCAACTGCTGTAGCCGCCACTTTTCTACCATACCTGCGCTCTAGTGGCTCTGTAGTCATCAACATTCCAACTGCATTTCCAAAAGCAGTTGCCTTTCACAAGCTGACAAGTCTTCAGCTCGCATGAGTACATCCTAAATTCCTTAACCCTGAGAACCAACAGCAAGGCCAAGTTGCAAATCATCGCAAAGTTATCAACCTCATCTTTTGCACTTCGCAAGCAGGGCAGAAGCCAATCTCAATGAGTAGTTGAACATGCAACCCACAATGCTCTGCGCCAAGCTCAACTGAGTCTGAAGAGCCTACCAGCAGCATCAATGTTTTTGCCAAGGTTGAATCATGCACGCTGGGGTGTTGCAAAACTGCCATATGTGAAAGGCCGGACGTTCGTATGCATACCCATTTGTAGGCATGGCCTGTCCACACCGCTTGCTACCAAGGTCCTGGGCGTATTGGCTCTTGCGTAGATATATGTATACACAATGATAAAGACATAAATAGATGCAGAGATAAATACATAGATAGATAGATAGATAGATAGATAGACAGACAGATACATATCAATAACAGAATACGCGTATATATATATATATACGCATACAAATGCATATCGGAGCCCAGGCTCTGAAAGCCCAAGACATCCAGAACTCCTTTGTGGAGCAACCCCCTAAATGGCAGCGGTCTTGATGCTTGGGGCTTCTGATCATGGCCATGCTAAAATTCTGACATGCTTCCGTCAAGCTTCAGATCCCATCGTAAGCATGATGAAAGTCTTATTTGCGGGGCTGAGCTACAGAATTACCCCTAAATGCCCAACTCGAAGCCCTGGCCCTGACCTCTTAGCCCAGCACCCCAAGCTCTAAACCCCACGCGGTTTGGGGTTTAGGGTTGAAACCCCAGTTGACCATACCTCCAGTCAACTGAATCTCCAGCCAGTCACTAGGTCACCAAGAGATGGTAGTCAAAATCATGGCCCTTTTGGGACTCGCTATAGTATAGCACAACCCTGGCATTTAGAGTGCCCAAAAGGGCAATCTAGTTTTGACAACCCCCTAATTTGTTCTTGAATTCAGATTCGGGGCAGAGATCCTGCGCCGGATCTGGGCCGCAAGCCCTGGGAGAATTTTGTCCACCTGAAGGCTGCGCCTGGTTCCTTATGGGGGTTTGATTGGTTTAGAGTTCCTTGTTGGGGTATGATTGAAAATTGTAATTCTGCATTCCTTGTGGTGCTTTAGGTAGTTACATTGAAAAGTCTAAATCTTGTTGGCAATCCTGCATCCCTTGTTGTGTTGAAGTATCATAGATATCAAGAATGGTTGAGCGTTACGAGAGGCATGATGGAGGCAAAGGAATCAGTGCAGGTATAAGGTATGGCACAGGAAAATGGGGTGGGGTGGGGGGGTGGGGGGTGGGGTGTGGTGGGTGGTGGGTGGGGTGGGGGGTGGGCTGGGGGGTGGTAAGGGGAGAATGTAGCCCAAAGCCCTGAGCCCGATGCCCAGAACGCTGCAGCGCAAACCTCTGCCCAAACACATGCAAATTTAACAAAAGGAGCTATGACCCCTACTCCTTCGTTTAGAACAGGCTTAGGAACACCAAGCCCTGGACACCTAAACCCTACCCAAACTCTGCACCAGGGTAGGTTGGGAAGCTGCCAAGGCAAGCAGTACCTGACAAACCCCAAGCCTATAAAACCTGAAACCCCACACCTAACCCCCCAAGTTCCTGGTTTAGGATTTAGGGGCCAAAGCCCTCACGGCCTGGTACTTGTCTGCCATTTCGGCAACTGTGATCAGGACGTCGCAATCACAATCAGCGTGCGGGAAGCAGCCGCTGTATAACCTGCTGGCAACCATGCCCACTGGTATCGCTGCTCATTCTTCTGTTGTGACTACTGCGATTGATATTGCGACTGGTGACTATTGTCGCGAACACTTTAATGTCATGTTTGGCGTTGACTTTGTGATTAGGAAGCCTTACTTACTCTGTACTCTGCTCTTGGCGCAATCCACGTCTTGCCGAAGTACTTCCAAATCCTAGACCTTTTTTCCAAACCCTAAGCCCCTAAACCCCGAAGCCCTTAAACCCCGAAGCAACTTTTTGCAACAGGCTTTCAAAGTCCGCCCGGCCAAAGTGCGCCCCTGACCTCCCGAACTGTGCTGGAGGCAGAACACAATCCTAAACCACAAATCTCTAAACCCAAAAGGCTTCTCCCAGGGATGTTGGTTTTGGGCTGAGAAGCAGACTATCAAGCTCCAGGTCTTATGGCATGTGAAGGATGATCTTCATATTTAACTCCTATAGTATATTCAGGCTATATAAGGATTATGGAAAAGAAAATGGAGACTACTATAATATAACAAGATATATGAAGGATAATCTAAACTCCTAGCGTCCCCCTTACAAACCCCTTATAGGAGTCCCCTACATTATCCCCATATAACCCCCTTTACGGGGTCTAGACTATACAGTAGCTCCGGTGCCCATTCTGGCTTCATGCAAAGGAGCATGGATAAGAAGACTTCGACCGCCGCTGGCGACTCATCTAAGGTGATGCAATGATTGTCACCTGGGCAGGACGAGTTGGCAAAATTGTCATCTATGAACTGGCAGAGGTTGGTATTTTGCCGCTGGCATGGCCATAACAGCATCGCAAGGTCTCATGACGGGTAACATTGGTCAACTCACAGGGCTGGATTGGTATTGGGATTTCATTTGGGTCTGAGGCCTTTGCAACGGATGCTTCAGACAGTACGACGGTGGTGACGTTGCGGTAACCCGGTAAGTGCTGGTACATACATCGGGGAGCAGACTGATCCCTAAGTTCTGCTACTGCGGGACAGAGGTGTTGCTCGTTGTCGGACATTTTATGATATTTTGGCTTGAGTACAGACAGTATACAGAATTTCATGGCGCTGCATTCCACTTATCTCCCAAACAGGCTCACTGGCGGCATCTGGCTCTCTCAAGTTCCAGTAAGGCCATCCAAGCAGCTCTCTCGCCATGCCTGCGCAAGAGGCTCCACATGAGGCAGAAGCTACGAAAATCTAGGGCTAGCCTGGATCAAACCTGTTTTAAACTCACATGTTTGCGGATGTCGCCTTCAGAGAGCACACACGCACATACATAGCTCTACATATACGGTATAGCTTGCAAGCCCGTAGACTCCCAAAGCTTTTGGCTTTTATCCTGCGAACCCTGCGAGACTAGAACCAATAGGTTCCCAAACTCACACGAATGTCCCACATCAGCACCCACATGTTGGGATGCCTCTCTGTGAGAGCTCGTCAAGAATTATGTGTATACATACACATGATCATGCATACTTTCTCGTCTTGTTTGGAGTATTATGTTCTGGGATGCGGCTTTGCAGACTACTTCGTGCACACCAGACTATGTTGGAGGGGAAGAGCCACAACATAGAACTGGCAGCTGGACATCCTAGACATTCTGCTGCTGCGGAAGAGGCAGTGTCATCTAAGGCTTGCCCATGCCGCATGTGACCCAAATGTCTGCCTCTAGACACTGAGCCCACCATCGGCACCCATGACACCCCCAACCTGAGCCTCTGTTCTTTTGACAGCACTTACCTCATATGGTGTTGCCATTCGGATACTCAGAAACCCAGATCGCAAGGGTTCCAAGCGCGTGCTTCTGCGTGCCACTAGAAACTCCCAGAGACTTTTACTAGGCATCCAGATAGTAGATTGGACTGCAAAGCCGGCTTGAAACCCAAGCCTGGTGGTTTGGCTTCAACATCACGTTGAAGACCTTGCACTTGTATCTCTTTCGTCTTTGGAATGTCAGGGGCTTGGGACACTAGGCCTTGCTACATCTTTGATTCGAGGGGTTTGGGACCTCAAGGCCTTACTTGCAAGCCTTGCCACTTGAGGCAGCAGGTGGTACTGGACATCTCTCTTTTCAAAATCTCTAATTGAAACGCAGGTTCTCTTAGCTGCGAAGTAAACGTAAATTGATGAGCAGGCTCCCGTGGACCCACATTCTGCAACACGCGGGCGTCAGGTTCTTAAGGGACTGCAGGATTGCTTTTGACGTTGAAACCGTGCTGGGAGCCGCAGTGTTTTGTGCTAAGTTTTGTCTCCCAGCCCTTGAAAGTGGACGTTGCGGCTACGCACCCCCTTGCAGGGCCAGATGACCAAAACGACTACCATGACGTAGACATCTTGCTGCAGGATGCACTTCGACCAACATACGTTGACAAGCTGCGGGTGGCCCGAGATGCTGTTTGACACACCACTATTTGGCTTCTTTTCCCTCGCCTCTCTGGATCCGCGAAACAACAAAACCTAGGCTGGAAGGGCCTCAAAGACCAAATCATCAAAGCACGCCCAACTTCTGCATCCAAACCTGAGCCCTCAGGGCGCCCACGTCCCGCTGCCCATGACAGATCAATTGCCCCTCTTACAACAACCGCCCTTAATGCAAGACATACTTACATCATATTCCGACAGCGGTCCTGTGATCATTTTCGGAACTGGCACGGCTTTCACAGAGAATCGTTGGTTTCCCATCGTTCCAAGGAATTATGCCGAGCATTTAGAAATTGAAGTGCAGCAATGCAGGGAAGCACGGTGTGCAAAAAATTAAGCTCCTGCTTACCTCCAGCAAAAAAAAAACACAAATTCAGTCTGGCGTCTGGCGAAGCATGGCAAAGCAACACTGAGTGTGCTCGGAAGAGGCAGCGCCTGTGGCCAACAGCCACCACAATAACGAGAATTGGTTTTCCATACGGCTTGCTTGACACCCCGGGATTTCAGCCTCTCGCAATACAAATTAGCAAGCGCTTGCATCCCCAGACCGCAGTAAAAGCTCAACTCAACCCCCCCAACCCCCGAAAAAGCAGTCAGGAAAACGAAGCACATGTACTCTTCACTCTCCTCAATCTTCAGTGTGACCTAAAGCTGCCAAAAGACAGCCCGAGAGGACCCACAGGCTGCGACAGGACAGCCACGTCAGCGAAATCTGGCTCCCGACCTGGGCGGTTGGGGGATTGGCAGATGTTGGGGGCTTCCGCGTCATGGCGATATGTGGGCTTTGGTGCCTCATTGGGACAGACTTCTTGAGCCTCATCGCACCGCTGAGGTTTGTTGAAGTCCGTTTGGGAACATTGGCCTTATACACTTCCCAAGTCCCTGACGAAACAAACGTCGTCACACAAACCCTGAAACACGACTGCAAACTCTTCCTTTGCCTTGCACCCTGAGCATGTCGTCATTCAGTCTGCTTCGCACGCTGAACGGACAATTTCTCACGACACAGCCTGACACAGCCTTTCGGCTTTTGAGGAAACAGAAAAACCTTGCAAGGACACTCCCAAAGCCATGAATACATACCAGGAAAGCCCAAGGCGCACATCTCTTCCCACATGTGGCTCATGACAGAATCGACCACAGAATGGCATGTTGGCCGCTCCTGGGCAAGGCATATAACCCTTCCCTTGAAACTCAACAAGCCGCAACATGCAGCAATAAGAGAGTTGCGGTGATGTCTGATCAGCACTTAAACTCACAGCCAGTCTCTTACGGTCTCAACCCTGTACCTGAAGAGAGTTCTTATCTTCCTGGCAAGAGCCCGCCCAAGTCTAGAGTGGCAGTGGTAGCGCAGAGGTTTGAAGCTGGGAGTTCCCGAGACTCTAGACTCCAAACTCCGGACAAATGTGAGAAAGTAGCATGGCCCGTTGGGCCACCCTCTTCAGCCTCAGCATCAATGGCTCTACTCTACTGCTGGAACCGTTACCGAACATCCCACAAACAGCGGAGGGCGCCCTAAGCGTTTCTTGCATCCAGCCTGCATCGACTCTGCCGAGAAGCAGCAGCCTCAAACCCCGTGCACCCCGAACCCATTATCCCAATATATAACCCCCTATATATTCCCTATTGACTATAACATAATGGTTTCCATTTTCTTTTCCATTATCCCCCAATATATTATATGACCCCTATATACCTAAATCTCAACCCCTCAACCCCACTCCCAGTCAGCCCTTAATGTCTAAACTTGCAAAGGCTCCGCAGCAGCCATCCTCTTTTGCATGGTCTTCAGCCTGGACACCAGCATGGACTGTGGGTCCATGTCGGAGATCAGGTCCTCATTTTGGGATTTCAGGGTTTCGGGTTTATTGCGGGAGGTTGAGAGAGAACAGAAATACGTGTCATGAGTTAGGGTTACAGTTTTAGGTTCAGGTTGGGGTTTGGGGTTTGGGCTTGGGGTCTCTTTGCTGGCAGCTTGGGTTTCACTGGCTTTCGAAAGATGCGGATATCTAAAGAAATTGGGCTTGGAGTGGCTGGGGTTAGGAGCTGTCAAAAGGCAATGAACTACACCCTAAGCCCTAATCCCTACACCCTGAACCCTCAACCCTGAACCCCAAACCCTGAACCCTAGGCATGGGGACTCCCCGAGCCAAATGTCTGGTTTTAAGGGTGCTTTCTGGGTGTAACGACTACAACAGCTAACAGGTCAGGACTTTGCGTCGAGGAGTAGTAAGGCTTCAGGGGTGTAAGGCTCTGCTTCCGTGATGTCAGGCCGCGAATTTGGAGATCTTATTTCATGGGATGGGGGAATACATGGGGAAACGGTTCAGCGGGCAACGGCCTAAACCCTAGCCCCCCAAAAACCTTCCACTCCAAGATGTTGCAAACAAACCTGCGACTCTACCTGACATATGTATATGTGTATATATATATATATATTTACACATACTTACCAGCCAGAGCAAGGAGGTTCTCTTCTGTGCAACGCTGTTCAGGCCACAGCAGTTGATAAAGCTATAGTCTAAACTCCTAGTATCCGCCTGAAAAACCCTTATAATAGTCTCCTACATAATCCCATATATAACCTTACTGTAGTTCATAGTATTCTTGCGGTCGGTCTGCCTTTGCAGGGTTTGCAGCTTAACAATGCGAACATCTCGACCCACGGGGCTGAATCAGAGTGGATTAGGAAAATGTAGGGTAAATTTCCTATACACATTCACTTCACACTGCGTATCCGGAAGCCCAAATCCGAGACCCTCACCCTGAGACCCATCCTACGCCCTGCGATCACACACCCCACAGTAGCCCCAAAGATCCAATGCAATCCCGCAAGAAACACTAAGCGCATTGGAGCCGAAGATCTTGCTGGCATAAGCAGTAGACTGTGCCTGAGCCATGGTGTTGTCACATGGGCGCTTTGGGTTAAAAACTTTATGAGTATTACCCCAGCAATGGAGAATCAAATGGAAAAGCAATCAGAAAATGGAAATGGGAACTCAGAAAACATTGTGGCATTAGGTTTCCAAGAATTGAGAGGGTACACTTTTGGGCAGCCGCTGTAATGAGAATTATTGTACATTGGGGTACATGTGCGCGACGGCTATGTTTGCAAATGCCCACAAGTATGCCGAATCTTGAAGAATTCGATTACAGCTTCGAGGGCGTTGTGCGCCGCATTCCTTCACCCCGGCGCTCTAGTACGCCTTCATGCGAATTCCTAACGGTTCAAGATTCCACACCGGAGCTCTGGATAGCTTGGGACCTTGGGAACACCAACTGCTGGCGTTGAGCATCCTTGTGCGGGCACGTGTTGCTTGAAGATAAATGTGGTTACCTTTGGGGTGGGAGTATCATCTCAAAGGGGGGATATCCCTACTTCCAAACTCCAAATCCTTCCTAAGACCCCAACTCAGCAGTGCTGCGTATGAGGGATTGAGCGGACGTCCCAGCCAGTATCAGCTCAGCACCGTCCACTGACACCCTCCCAACAGCCTCAGGGGCTGCTGTGACGTTGGGGTCTCTGTTTGTTTTGCTTGTCGGGAAGGATGCACTATAAGAGCACAGCCTGCAAATCTTCAGAAGTCAGCAAGTTTTGACTGAATCCGGGGTGAAGTTTGATCAACGAATCTCAAAGTCCTCATTTACCTTTTATATAAAGCCTCTCCATAGATAGTTGAAACCTGAAACCTGCGCTCGCAGCTCTAAGCTCTAAAAAGAAAAACCAGCCGACACATCCGCAAACCTTAATTTACTACTCCTCCTACTACTACTACTACTACCACCACCACCACCATCATTATTATTACTGCTACTATAAATACTACTATTATTACTTACCGTTACTATTACTAATGCTATTACTATAGGGCAGGCTGGAAAAGAAACAAATGACACGTACATGCCAGGTAGCCTTCTCCGTTGCATGCTGATCTGGATCAGCACCTCGCCCTACGCCTCGAGTAAACTCCGCTGACATAAGAATGTGAGTTTGAAACTCTTCAAGTCTTGCTCGACTGGTGGGGAGGTAAGAAGGAGAAGTAAGAAAGAGAAACCTTGTGGCCAAAGGTTTGAAAAGCCTTCTCTCAATTGTCTGTGTCCTATGCTGAAACAAAATCACTACAGCTACTTGCACTCAGATAAGACTTTGGCCTTCTATCCTTAAACCTTTGGCGTATTCCCTTGGCGTGTTTGGACGCTGAACCCCTCTGACTTGATCAAAGTTCCTATCACATTGTATTGTATCATACTGTGACGGTAATATACTTATCACACTACATTATACGATATTGCATTCTATTCTGCTGTATTCTACATTCCTTACAGTGAGTAACTGTCCCAAAAGGGGTTTGTTAAAGGGGCTGTTAGAACTCCTATCACCTAGTGTGGTAAAAACTGAATCCTTCCAAGCCCATCCAAGGTGCACCAAGACAAGAGCTCCAATCGCTGCGCGAATCTCCTGAACCCATGTAGGAGTTTCCCCAAAAAACTGAACAGAAGTAGCCTCAAAGGGATATAGGCTATAGGGAGGATTTATTTCGGCTTTCCCCAAAGAAGGAATACCATTCTGAAATTTAGGGGTCTCCGAAATGAGGGTAAACATATTTGGGGGTGCCCTTATATCCCCTATTTAGAGAAACTACCACTTTCTTCTGCGAATTCAAAACTGACAAGATGTGGCCGATTGAATGGGTTCTGGAATTCAGTTTCAGCGGCAAGGCTCAGCTTTGAGTTCAGGTTCAAGATGCAAGGTTGCGGGGCTCATGGGCTCAGAAGCGGTTTGGGAATTCAATGTTTGAGGTGTTTAGGCTTGCTCTCGTGCAGAGCTGCTGAAGGCGTGGGCTAGCAGCTACCGGGTTTAACTTGCTAGAAAACTCTATGGCAATCATGAGCGCGTCATGCAGAACGACCGCGTGCCGAGCTGTATTGAGTCTACACTCGCTTGTCCAAAGCCGGGACCCATCCCTCGCTGAGCTGCAGACAGATTGATGGCCCGAGAACCACAAAATCGCCAGGAAACGCGTGAAGTCTATATCCAACCAACCTATGGTACACCACAAGGTGCTTATCCTCCTCCCGCCTTGCTCTCCCCCTCTTGCGATTCGTCATGTCATTGCTACTGTACCATTGAATACGGTCATGTCATGGCAACGGGCTTGCATGGAGCTAGCTCCTCTCTGGTTCATCAAAATCAAAGATGGCGCCGGCAACGATGGCCTGGGCTCCAAAGAGAGAAAAATGCCGGGCTCAGCGAATTGGTGATTTGGGTGATTCATATTCGATCTGCAGAAGTTCGCGAGCCCATACCACTGCCCACAATTCGCTGTAGGACGAAGTTCTGGGCCGACACTTGTTGCTAGTTTTGACGATGTGAGAGGCTAGCCGACTCAGACCTCACTGGTGCATCCGGAAAGTAACCCGGAAAGTATACAGCGTCTTCGACAGATCCAGATTTTCGCCAGAATCAGTCTCAAAGCCTTCCAAAGGCTGCACATATGCTACTGTCAGGCCTTATAGGGGATAATGGAAAAGAAATTGGAAACTACTATAGTATATTGGGGTTCTATAGGGGAAAAATGGAACCTACTATGAGATTCCATACCTGGCAGATTCAGTGGACGTGGGCTTGGGGCCCTCCTTCTTTGTTGGCTTCGCTTTTCCGGAATTTTCGACTTTGAAAATGAATTGCCTATTTGGCACCTCTTAAACAGCATAGTTCGCTGCATGATTCAAGGTCTTTCAGCGCCAGTCGCTAACGCCTGCCTGCCAAAGACATGATATGCCGGTTGGAATTTTTGCCGGTTGGAATTTTTGACAGTTGCTTACATGGCTACCCCCAAGCCCGTGAGTCATCAGACGCCCCGGATCACGGCGAGAAGCAAAGCGATCGGGTCGCTCACGAGGGTCCCGATTCCCAGGAGGAGGGGGAGCAGGGAAATTGTCATCGAGGGACCCGTGAGTAGTACTAATGGCCCAGATCTTTGCTGAAAGGCCCTAGTTTTGTCCTGAACAGGGTTGGAGCCGACAACCAATTTTTCTTGAAAAATGTATTCTTCGAGCTTGGCTTTCTGCCAGTGGTACTGTTTTCTGAGCAAACACAGATAAGCAATAGGGATGCATGCGCTACCACAGCCGTGTGAGAGCGCGGCTATGTTAGGATATGCCTTTCCCCAATTGCCAGTACCACACATGTTTCTGTGCTTACAGAATAAACAAATAGAAGCCTGTCGGCCAGTTGGGGGTATTAGGTTTCTCCTGCAAGAAAGAGGAGCCAAAACTTCTACGCGGAAGTTTATGGGCTTCATTTTGAAAAGGATTTTTGAGCAAAAGCCCCAATGTTGGGTAGAACAAGGCCCATGCTGAGGACCATCAGTGTGAGCGCCTCGGAGCTGTGTGTGGATAAATTGCTCTGTAATACCATGACAACACATTTGATTGAAGCAGCATGATGAACAAACTGTCCAACCTCTGCCTCAGTGTCCTGCCTCCACTTCAAGGTCCTAGGAGAAGGCTGAGGAGTAGAATGAGACCCCTCCGCTCCAGTAGGGTGGGAGCTCTCAGGCTCCTCTCTACGAACAGGTCTTTGCTTCGGAGGAGGGTTAGCAAAAAGCTGGCATGGGAGGTTGAGCAGGCTGACATGAAGCAGGGATGGACTTTCTAGGCATCTCACGATAGCTTTTAGGTTGCTCAGGGTTCCGTTCATCAGAAGAGGCACGAGGAGCAGGGGGCAGTTGCTTACCAGGATATGCCTTAGGAGTCTTGACAGGCAGTAACAGAGGGTTCAAAAGGGGCTTCCTTGACTTCTGTTGGGGGAATAGAAGCAGTAGAAGCCTGCCCAGGGCGGGGGGTCAACAGTGGCCGAAGTCTGAATAGGGGTAAGCTCAGCAACCGGTCAAGCATCATCAGAGGTAACCCTGTGAACATCCTTTGCTTGCTTAACTTCAGGTGCAAGCTGCGGGGGAGCAAAGGGAAAAGGAGGGTCAACCGGGCTGGTAGTGACCTCCTCTTTAGCAGGTTGCTTGCAAGCAGGGCGAGCCTCAGTTTCATTTTTTCTTCGCTTCCCAGTCTTCCTAGGAACCTGAGCAGAAGGGTCTTCATCATCAGCCCCAGCCTCACAGGACGCTTCAGAGTAGATGTCAAGAGTGTCCTCAGCCAGGAGATCAGCAACCTCCTGTGAGGCGATGTCTGAGTACGAAAAGTAATGCCGCGCAAATCGTTGGAACATGCAGGCATGAATACGGAGCAACTTGAGGTCGGCTTCAGTGATGTGCTCAGCAAAACTGAAATTCACCACTGCGTGGTGTCTGCGGCCCAAGCAGAGAGCCCCCAACCAGCCGCCTCATAAACAGAGGGCGGCGGGGGTTTAGCCTTAGGCCTGGGATCAGGAATAAAGGGACCCAAAGCAGCAAGCATTGTGTCACTCCTAAGGGTAGGAATGGTGGGAGCAAGCTGGGATGGGAGCAGATGTATGCATTGGCTAGGGGAGTACATGCAACAGCAATGCACCGCAGGAGGAGCAGGCACAGGTTCACCAGTAGAAGTCTGGGGACCAAGTGCATCAACTTTGTCAACCTTGTGCATCGATCCAGAGAGCCCCAGCACTTCCAAGGTTGGGAGGAATGACGTCAGCCTCTTCAGGACAAGCAGGGACATCAGCAAAGTAGGCCTCAGCAGCATGCCCAACATGGAAGGCTCCAGCAGCAAACTGGATGATGCGCTGAAAGTGATCCTTCTCATGACGAATGTAGATCATAGGCTGCTTCACATTTTGTCAGGGATGAAGGTGAACGCCTTTCCCTTCTGAGTAGATAGCCCAGTAACAGGCGTTTGGTAGGTCTGA